AAAAAATCTATCATCCATACACGAGCAAGAGACTCAGAAACGATCAGAATTTGTGTATCCTAACATAAATGATTCATATTACATTAAGAACTCAAGTAGTGGTGTGTACAGAGACTTAACAGAAACTCTTGATTTAGACAATGAAGATTTTTTTAATTGCCCTACTCAAAAATTATCAGTTTCTAAATGTTTGAATTCAATTCCAAAATTATCTTCAACTGTACACAAAGAAGAAACAATTAAACCTTGTGAAGCCAGTTTAAGTAATTCTAAAAGTTATAACATTGGTCCTCATGAAGATCTTGCCAAAAAACCTGATGTGGATGAAGATTTTTTTAATTGCCCTACTCAAAAATTATCAGTTTCTAAATGTTCGAGTTCAATTCCAAAATTATCTTCAAATGTACATGAAGAAGAAACTCAAGGTCCTTCAGAAACCATTAAATCATATGAAGCCGGTTTAAGTCATTCTAAAAGTTATAACATTAGTCCTCATGAAGATTTTGCCAAAAAACCTGATATGGATGATGATTTTTTTAACTGTCCTACTCAAAAAGTGTCAATTGCTACGACCATTTTATCAACAAAAAATCTATCTTCTAAACACGAGCAAGAGACTCAGAAACGATCAGAATTTGTATGTCCTAACATAAATGATTCAAGTTACATTAAAAACTCGAGCAGTGGTGTTTACAGAGACTTAACAGAAACTTCTGATTTAAACAATGAAGATTTTTTTAATTGCCCTACTCAAAAATTATCTCATAGTATTGAGTCAAAAACATCAACAGGTAAACCAAATCAAGAAATAAGTGTTTCAAATATTATTGAGACTGAAAATCAGGATTTTCTAGTACAAAAAAGTACAAGGATGCCATTTTCAAAAAATAATTCACCAGATAACAGCAAAAAACAGAATAAAGAAAATGTTCACAAAATATCCAATGAAAATTTTTCCAGTTCATCGAGCATTCATGAAAATGAAAATAACAATTTCCTTGTTGATACCAATAGTAAGTTCCATCATTCAAAATGTATTTTAATTTCTTGTTAACCCAAGCTGTTAATTTTTATTTTATTTCAGGTGAAAATAAATCTGTTAAACAAAAAAGAACAGTTCTACTAAACAATACAGAAGAATGTTTGATTAGAAATTCAATGTGTTTAGAGTCAAATTCAAATAACAAATCAAAATATACCCATTCGTCAGTTATTAGTAATGAAAATAAATATTCATACAAGAATTTGAAAACTAAAAAAAAACCAATAATTCGTGTAAAAAAGGATTTACATAAGTCTAGTTCTGCCAGTTTGAGCAATAATTCTTTGCATAACACAAATATCATATCAGATGATGTTACAGAGCCAGCAAAAAAAAATATAAATTCATTTACTTGTTCAAAAATTGAAAATGAGAGGAGGAAATCCTCTATTAAGCAAGAACATTTTTCTGATGATTCTATGGATTTTCAAAATTTTAATTCCCCTAGTAATAAATCCCTATCGAAACAAAATAATGAAACTATATTTAGTCCATTAAATATACCCAGCCTCAATGAAAATGTAATTCAACAGCAGTCTACTCCAATAGATCTTGAGACTAATTCAATTTCAGTACATTGTGAACCATCTTGTTCAAATACTGCTGTCACTAAATGGAAATTATTTTGGAATAAGAAAAAATTAGCTTGTGAAAACAAAGGAAAAAGTTGTAAACAAGAAAATGTCAATTTTTCAAATGCTGATAAAATTAAAAATCGGTACCAAACAAGAGCCCTTGTTAAAAGAGAAAATGCCACTGAAAATGATAAAAAACGAAAACAGAATACTGTTAATGTTGAAGATAAAAACAAAAGATTATGCTATGAAGATAGGGAAAACATATTAAATCCATTGGTGAGTAATATTTCTATTATTATATGATAAAAATCTAATATTATATATTATAAGATAGTATGAGATATATTTGTATAATTAGTGTAAGATTTGAATGCTTACAATTTACTAATTATTATATTTAAACACAATTTCTAATTATTTTTGTCATCATAATTTTATTACTAGGATTTAAATTACTTAATTAAATTAACAAAAACTTTATAATATTCAACATTGAATGAATGATTCTGTATAATATATATTCAACCAACGTTTTTATTTAGTTCTAACTAATTTTAATTAATTATCTATAATCTTATAATATATGATCTTAGTTGTCTAGTTTGAATTGTTTATACTTATAGTAGTTTTCCACTTAGAAGATAATTCTTGAATATTTTTAATTTAAACAAATCAATATTTTATATAACGAGGTAACCAACAGGTCAATCGCAACTCTTTTTCATCTTTATTTTAATTTTTTTCAGAATATAAATAAAATATTTAATTTTTTTTTGCAAATGTTTGTATTTTTGTATCCAAGAATATAAAGGTTAGATTAATTATAATTAGTTAAGTATTAGTAATAATTTATTATTAAAAACGACAATAAAAATAAATCACGTGTAACATTCATGTATATAAAATATATGTTTGTGTAGTTAACATCTTTATTTTTTTTTTGCGATAATGACAACTTAAAAAAACCAGAGCTCTATCACAAGCTTATATATAATATGGCTATTTCTGTTATAAAAGATAATAAATGTTTAAATGCAACTTGTTGTTAAATAGTATGATTTATTCATTATTAACTTGAGGAACCTATTTTTCAACAACTATGAACGTAGAATATACTGAAAATATTCTTCAATCAAATCTTATTTATTTTTTTATTTCATTAATAAAATATTTAATTTATTTTTATAGTGATCAGTAAATGATTGGTTTAACTTATTATGTATACATATAACAAGAAAATTTAACTGTACATTTTTATTTTTTAGATTCCAAGTACTGTTGTTGTTACTTTTAGCTTTTTAAAAAGTCGCCACCTTCAAGAATTGAAAAAGTTTATTGAAACAACAGGTATAAACATATACAAGTAACCAATTGATAATTTTGATTGCATTTCTTTATATTTGATTTAAGCTTTGTTTCATTTTATTAGGAGGTTGTGTTACGGATGAAATTACCCAGTGCACTGTGTTGGTAACAGACAAAATACGTTGTACTATGAAAATATTATCAGCAATAGCTAAAGGATGTCCAATTGTTAATCCCAATTGGATTAAACATTCATATACTGTTAAAAATTTTCAAGGTTCAAATTATTGTCCTTTATTCCTTATCATGAACAGATTGATTTTGAATGTTAATTTTTCTTATAGATGTGGACGAATTTTTAATCGTTGATAAAGATGCGGAAAGAAAATACAAGTTTCAGCTGAAGGAATCTCTGGCTAGAGCTAAAACCAGCAGACTATTAGAAGGATATACAGTTTTAGTCACTCCATCTGTGAAACCTGGTCTAAAAGACATGAAAGGTATTCATTTTAAAACATAGTATCAGTGTCGTAACTAGAGATTGTCAAAATGGACAGATTCCAAGAGTGCAGCAATGTAAAGGAGCATATTTGAGTTAAATTAAATTGGATATTTTTGTATTATAAATTAATGTCAAAATAAAATTTGCTAAGAGCACTATGGAGAATAGTTACAGCACTGTATAATATTGTATTTTAGTGTCAATGATAAAAATGATTTGGTATTCAAAATCCCAACAAACTATTATTTAAACGATTGCATAATTTTGGTTTCAGTTATTATTACTTGTGCTGGTGGTAATTTTACTGTGAACTGGCCAATACAACGAGTTCAAAAAGAATTGATTGTGACTTGTGATCAAGATCGTCGCCGATGGAAGTCAATATGGAATAATTCTACGGCTAAAATAATCGATAGTGACACTTTTGTGATGTCCATTATCAGACAAAAATTGAATGTATAATATTTATAGTTATTTTTAATGAAAATTTTTATAAATAAGTACTTTAGCACTAGTTATTTACTCAAATCAATTCTATTTGTATCATTCATAATTTATTAGGTATTAAATTTAATTCTGAATTTAACTATAATAATTATAAAATAGGCTGTTACTTATAAAATTATTACTTGAATACTATTTTCTATTTTCTATGTTTTTAACAATTATATTTTTGATTGCTTAACAATATGTAGGTCACAGCGATTTTGACTTAACATTGGACATCCAAAGAGCAGATGGTATTATTTATTTAACATAATTGTATTCACTTTTATTGCACTTGACAATATGTATTGTTTTGCCATATACCTTGAATTTACCATTATTTCAAATTCTGGCAAATAAAATATATTTATTCAAGTTTAATAAAACACAAGAAAAAATAAATAAAAATAGTCTATCCATGTTGAATATGTTATATATATTTTTTAAAAATGTTATCACAATTTATAGTATGAAAAAAGAAAATAATAAATTATTATCTTTAATAATATTATTACAAATATATCATACATAAATGAATATTTTATTTTCATATACATGGTTTATTAACAAATATACATCTAGGTTTATGTATAGTAAATACATTTTTTAAACATGCCAAAGTTTCTTAATGGATACTAACAATAATGTTTATATATACTATCTTTGGTGCTTAAATGTAACGAGAAATACAAAAATAGCATTTTTGACAGTAACATTAAGCTACACAAACAATTAAATGTAATATATGAAATAATTATATGAGTGAAAATATATTTGTTTTTTTTAGTTAGAATAATAATTAATTTGTTCAAAGTAACAAATGAACGTAATCATTGAATTTATGTTCTTACGTGTAAAAAAATTTTTGTTTTCAAAATTTAAATTAATATTAATATCATTATCTTTTCACCAAAAGTATACAACTATACTATTTTATTAAGTATGTTGTAGTGTTCAACATAACAATTGCAGTTTTACATAAGTTATAAAAATTTGTTTTATTAATTAAATAATTTAATTTCAATACAAAAATGGAATCACTGGTAAATTTAAAACTAACAAATTTTGAGTTGAAAATTATGGAGTTTATATTAACGTAATGTAACACCAAATTGTAATTTGTAAGAATACAAATTATGAAGTCTAAATATTTTTGATAATTATGAAGGAAAATGAGTTTTTTTATACAAAGTACCCTGTAGGGCATATTAAAAATAACGAATACATTTTTAGTTTAAAAATACTGTATTGGTCATTAGAAGTAATATACAATTATAATAGTATACATATATAAAAAAAGAAAAACTAAAAATATTGAAGTTTTTATGAATTTATTTTGGTTTATTTTAAATATCTCTAAACTAATAATGATAGAATTAAAGAAAGAAATGAAAGTGTTGATTACTTTGCTAATTTTAAGTAGAAATGCAATAAATAATATAAAAATATATTAATGTAATATCAAGATTCAAAAATAATAAATAAATATCTAACATTTTCTTTGAAATACATTATACAAACTTCTTTGTGAAAAAAATATTTAAGCTTTTTTGTCTATAAGTAAAAAATTTAAAATAAAAAATAATTGATACAGTTAAGAACCAATAAGAATGGGCACTAAGTATTATTTAATTTTATAAATTATTTTTATATATTTAGTTAATTTGTATTGAATATAAAATTGAATCTAAAACAGGAATTAAATATTTTACTATAATTTAAATGTGTCCAGTCTTTTAGTCTTATGATGTAAATTGTTCTTAATTGAGAAGTTTAGGTATTGCACATGAATTACAAATATTTATCTTTTAAATTGTATAAATATTTATATATATGAGAGCTGTTTAAAAAATATATAATTGATCAGTGTAACTCAAAAAAAAAAAAATAAATAAATAAAAAAATACTAGCCTAAAAGACTATATATTATTTGTCATTGTTCATAAAATAATTATTTATACACATAATATATAGAGTGGTTACTTCCAAATTAAAAATCTTTTTAAATCAAAAATAAGGAGATATTTACACCCTGCTTTTTTAAGCCCTACATTATACTATTGTATATGCATATAAATTATGAATAATTTTTATTTTAGACTAAGCATAAACCAAGTTTTATATTCTAATGATACAGTTAAATAATACAAGAGAGAAAAAGTTATATCACTGATATAATCAAAAATTAACCGGAATGCTTAGCTTAAAAATGTCTTAAATAATTCTCTCCAAAAGTAAAAATAAATTTTTGTTCTAATATAAGTATTACAATTTGAATAAAAGTAAAAAAAATTAACTTACAAATCTACATGAGACAATTAAATAATAATAAAAGTGCATACTTTTACATAATTTTGTACGGTTATTATTTACTTGGGAACAATGACTCATATGAAGGTGGTAAATCTTTATCGACTGTTCGCATCTCAGTACCGCTAGAATCTGGTGGAGCTGTGGCCACGATGGCCATTGTGTCCAAGTTAGGTACAGGTTGCATTTCAGAAGAATGAGGATGAGTGTTTGGGTGCCCAATACAACAGAACACACTACCACAGTGTCTTAATAGCCATAAGAGTGCAATGAATGCTACAAACATAGTTAAAAGTCCGGCAACAGTTCCAGCCATGATTTTGGTACCAAATGTAGTGTTAAAATGATAACCATTTCCTAAAATAAGAAAAATTAATAATACTTATTTAACCAATTATCTGTTAAAATGTTCAATATTTACCATTAACTACTGGAACACCTGGATGACAACCATCCTCGTCTTTACAGTTTTTGAATGGACAGTTGAATTTCCCATCCTGGAAGAAGTCTTTAAAAATACACGTTCTTCCACCACAATGTTTCCAAAGACCATTGTCATACTTGCAATCTAAAAATAAAGTAGTTGTAAAATTTGTTGACAGAGGAATTAAGTTTACAGTAATAAATTGAGTTATCTATTCAACAAAAAATATGATACCTTGAAAAGCTGTGAACACAACTTCAAAACTTAATTCTTCATTGAGCTCTAAGGATTTATTGGCGATATGTATTTTAACTTCAACCAAGCCTTTATGAACAATAAAAGAATTTATAGCTGTATCTTCATCTTTACCACTATTGTTATTTAATTCGTTATCAACGTCAATTTCAAATGCATTGACTTTACCGCACATTTTGGCACTCCATGGATCTGAACGCTTGAATTTGAAATTAAGCGTTCCAAAACTCAAGGGTTTTTCAATTTGACGAAACTGTAATTAATTAAATAATTATTAAATAGTTAATAAGTAATGACAAATGAAAAAAAACATACTTGAACAAAATCAATACATTGGCCTTGAGTATTACGCCTGAAAGACATACGTTGTATAACAACAATAATACCCCAGTTAAGTGAGGACGATACTGAAAATTGACAGTTAAATTCTTGTTTACCAGTCCAATTTTGAAAATATCGACTTGCTCTGATTACCATGGCCGATTGTTCTTCACGACCAATTAGTTCCAAACTGCCAGGTTTTGAACTCAATGAGCAAACACTGTCATTTTCTAACATTTCTACAAACAAAATTAATGAACAATTAACTATCATAAGCAAAACTAAAAACTGTACTCTTATTATACTATTTTGATTGTTAGTAATTGGGTCATTAACTAGGAATAAATTTCAATTGGAAAACAAAGAATATGTTAAGCCATTTTAAAGTCAAATACCTAACTAATTAATTAAACAACATTTTTTCTGATAAATTTAACCGGATACAATTTGGAAGTATATAAACATTATCATCACGTAAAACTTAAAATATTTCTTTTAACTTCGGTTTTTACATAATGCTAATTTGTATACATTAGAAAATTTTAAGAAGATAAACCCCTATTCGTTATTATTTCTAAGAACACATAACTAGTTATTATAAAAGTAAGGTAAAACAAGGATAAATAACAATTAAAAAATATTATGCTAATAGTAAATACCGAGGTGAATACACAAAAGAAAAAGAATAGCTACATAAACATTTGTAAGAAAATAATGAACTCCATTGTGCTATATAATGGATGAAATATAAAGTACATATATCTAGTCAAGATCTGCATGGGCTGGGTTTACCCAGACCAACCCGGACTCTATAAAATGGCAAGACAGGCTATAACAAAAACATAGTTTGTATCTCAACTTATATTCTATTTAACCATAATTGTATGAAAATAGTAAATACATAGGTAATCAAACTATTCAACAAGAAATATAATTTAAAAAATATTTGTACTGGAATTTCAATAATATAACAATTACAAAACAAACGATACTGAATAATAAAATAATAATAAATTAATAAATGGCATATACTCGTAAATTAATTTATAAATAAATAAACAAAAAGTTTATATATAGAAATAAATAAATACATTAATTTTATTAAATTTTATTTTTTCATATTCAGTAGCAATTCTATTAACTTTGTTTATACCTGATTATAAATGTTTAATTTGAAAATGGTCATACTTTTCAAGTATAATAATTAAAGACCAGATTTATATGTTTTTACATATCGTTACTTGGTCTATGCAGTTGTATAAGAGTAAAAAATGTGGATGATTCATTCAATTCTGAGTTTGTAGAAAAAAGTTTTTTTTGCATATTTGAGAATATATCATAGGTTAGAGAATATTTAGCCCATTTAGCATACTTTAGAATATTTGAGTTTTGTTTCATAGTTGAAGATTGTACAAACTGTTATCTGCAAACTAACCAATATACCTGGTGAAACGGGTAACATAATAAAAATACTTAAGTGTCTCAATTATGTTAAAAGAATAAAGGTTACCAAATGTAAGTGAAAGTTGAGAACATTTTATGTGGAAACAATGAAGATCTCCCAGAATATTTAACATCTTATTTAGTTGTTAACATGAAGTTTGCACCTCTAATACATGTTGATGTTGAGTGTTCATTTAGTGTCTATAAACAAATTTTAAGCGATAGAAGAACTAACATGAGTAAATATAATTTGTAAAATATATTATAGTTAATTCATATAATAAAATTTAAATAGTACCTATTTCAAGTTTCTTTATTATTCTTCAGAAAGTAAATATTTACCATTGTATGCACCAAAGAAATATTGTTTTTTTTTTATACATACATATATATATATACCTATATTGTTATTTTATATCTTGTATTAAATTATTACTATTTAAGGATCACCTTTTATTAACCAATTTTTTTTTGTTTTATTATATTTTAATATATATATATATACCATGATTATTTGTTATTTTTTTAATATTGTGACAATATTGTTAATACAACATTCAATTAAAACATACCAAAGGAATATTGTTTTTAAATTTTAATACTGTAGACCAGGGATCGCCAACCAGTCAATCGTTGTATAATTTATTTTTACCACTATCGGTCGATCGCGTAAAATAATCAAATTAATTGGATAATGAGAACAATAGATTTAAAGATTAAAGATCTACATTTTCCTGGATGTTAATCACTAGGGACTTAAATGTCAAATGTAGCTCACTTGTTTGAAAAGGTTGACGACCCTTGCTATAGAGTATACTGTAATATTTTTACTATATTCCTACTCTAACTGAAGTACAATAGTATTCTATTATAATACGCAACTACGTATATACTTCATGATTAAAAGAATGTTGTAAAAAAAAATTTTTTTTTTTTAAAATGCATATTAAACCATATATTGATGTTTGTTGATTATTTTTGAATAATTTCAAACATTTTTACATATTTTTAAGAGAATATAATAAGAATATTTGAAGGTTTTTTAGAGAATATTACCATCATATTACTATCATATTTAAGGTATTTTGAGAGAATATAAATCCGGTCTTTAATAATAATACTCCAGGTTAAACTTATATTTATTTATACATTAAATAATACTGTTTGAAATACAAAAATATTAAAAATATGATCCTTAAAATAAAATGTAAATTTATAGTTTTACAAGTATTATTATTAATAATGTTACATATGTAGAAAATACATACATAAGTATATAATATTTGTTGAATTTCCATTGCATGAATATTTTACAATGTTAAATTGTATTTTGTTTTTATTTTTATTTTTATTGTATTTCTCTCTGGCATAGATAAGAAAATTATATAATTTACTTAATAGTATAAAATATATTGGTTTATCAAATAGTATATGAATAAATTACCAATAAATCTCAAATGTTGAGTGATTGACATTTGATATCACTACAATTCAATAATATTTAATGATTCATCGACATTCTTAAGCAAGGAAAAAATACTATTTTAGGAGAACTGAAAGCTGAGTCATCAATATAAATGTTATAAATTATGAATAATTTTGTGATCTTACAATTGAAAGATAATGCAAAATATGAGATACTTATAATATATTGAATAGTAATAGATTAACATAGTTTGAGTGAACCCCAAAGAGCTATAGTTTCTGACATTCTTAGAGTGTCCTTAATTTTTTATTAACCAGTGTATATGTACTGCAATAAGGCTTATTGGCTTACATCCTATAACTTTGTTTTCTTTTGTTTTAACATTTAGTTTGATCCCATCAATTAAATACATGCAAATTAGGATTTATGTAACTAATGATTTAAAGTAAGTTAAGAACTTACTCATTTTATAAATACAGACTAATATTTATTTTCATTTTATCCTAGATAAATTATAATTTATTATTTAAAGTTAAATTTGGATTGTTCATAGTATCTAATATAAACATGTTGAAAATTATAAAATACTTATATTATATTATATATGTAAAAGAAATGTTTATCTAAATACAACAGGGCAATCAATTCTCAGATACATTAGTATGACACATGCCGGATGTATTAACTACTTATATGCTAATGGATCAACATCAAATTAGGCAAATTTTAAAACAGCTGATTGGGTAATGACTATCATCCATTGAAATGGAGTTATGGTGATTTATAGTAAAGGAATAATATATAAAAATTTATATTCAGTATGTTCATTTCAGACCTTATCTTTTGGGGAAATGAAATATTGTTAATTCACAGGTAGTTACTAACATTTCTATATTTATTTATGAAGGTAATTTTATAAGAACTTTAATTTTATTGGTACTATATTATTGTATTGTAAGATTTTAATTGCCAAAAAAAAAGAAAAAGTAAGCTTGAATAAATAAAAAATAATATTACATAGATTATAACAACATGTAAGATTAGATTAAGCTTATTAGCCTAGTGATTTCCCAAGACATACAATTATTATTGATTTTAAAAAAAAAAAATTGAAAATCCACTTAAGCAGACAAGGATGAATAATTTGCACCATATATTTTAAGTCAGAAACAAGTTAATTATTTCAATTCAATTTAGGAACTATTTAGCTCTGGTGACCAACAGTTTTTTGTTAAATATACAATAGGTATATATTACAACTAATAATAACTATATAAAACAGTTAAAAAACTGTGTTTAACACAAAATTATCATGATATTGTTATTTTTACCTTGAGAAAATGACTTCCCCTCCTACAATCACTTTCCTGAAATAAACACATTCTATATCCTCAAATGATTAGTGGTTTAAACAGGAAATTTAGGTCTGGTTTCCAAGACCTATTCATTAAAATTAAAATATTTAACGTACAGGATATAAATGGTTCGTTAATGAAGTTCCCAATAGAAATCGGTACGGATTAGCGTTTCATCGGTGCAGAGATCCCAAGGGAATGTATAAACCTTTGAGATTCTCATTCGTACACATCAGACCGATGCTTTCTGAGTAAAACGAAAACTTTGAAGCAACGCCATTATCGGCATGGTAAATAAATCAAAGAATTAAAAACTATGCGAAGAAATCAAGTGTGCTGGTGAATCAGAACGGACACATCATATTCCTCCTGTTCGCAAAACGGATGAAGGCCAAAGCCGTTCTCGGCAAACGCACGTAATGTCCAACAACTTAAAATCCTTCGCACGTAAAACAAAATGCAAATAAATCGAACTCATCGCGCCCGACCAAAGGGATACGGGCGACCATCGGGCCTAACTGCACGGTACAAAATATCTGCCCGCACGTGCATCGTCAACAGGTCGGGTTAGGCCAAGAAAGGGATTCGTCACTAGCCCGAACCTGTCGCACGGGATGTCATCGATTGCGTCGCGTACGGGCGACGGTAAAAACTACTCACTTTCGACGTAAGACTCGGACGGTCGGCCCAGGCACGACACGACCAGCAGCCCGAGGAGCAACGACGACGGATCCATCGGACGGTACCGCGCGAGTTTCAGCTGCTACGGCGGAGACGGGTGCAACGGTGACCGAACGCGACTCGAACCTGACGGATCATCCGAGCGGCGCGAAGGGACTGCCGCAGGACACGGCCGTCATCGACACCATGGTCGTAGCGGTGTTCAATCAGCCCCCGATGTCCGTGTCCCGTTCGAAGCCGATTGAGATGAAAACGGTTGTACGTCGGATTCGGAACGGCCGGATACGATGTCCGTTTCTCAGCGACACCACACGACGAACGGACGCGGACGCACCAAGTGTAGTGGCACAGCTCGCGCAACACGCCGTATGATATTATTATTATTATTATTATCGTAATTATTGTTGTGCTGCCCGTACGAGTTGCTAGTGCACGGCAACTGCTGCACGTATCACATATGGAAAAAGCGCACGCACGCGCCGACGATTACCTAATCAAATCGTACTGGCACTATCAGACGGCGGCGGTGGCAACACTGTAGGACCGACAAAGACCGAAGTGATCGCTGCCGAGATCGACACCCGGGCGAACGCGCTGCGCTGAGGATCCGCCGTCCACTGCTTCTGCACCGGATTGCCGGATCGGACGGGGCAGGGACTTTTACATCGGACGTTGACTCGTGAACTCCAAACTCTTTTCGTTACCCCACCGTCGTCTTCGCTTCTTGCTTACCGCGTTTTCTGCATCATCGTTTCCCCCACCGACATAGTCGCAACTAGGCTTTAATTTTTTTTTTTTTTTAGCAAGGGGAGCTACTTTGTTTTTCGATATCGCTTCGGTAATGGACTAATACTTTTTGATTTGTGTCTGTACCATTTATGTAGAGGGTGGATAAACATTTGGAGGGCTAAGCCACTCGGTCCCCACCTGATTGCGCCTGTGTCTACCGATGCTCCTTGCGATATGTGCAAAACCATTTTCAGAGATATTTTTCAACCCTCCCTCCACCCGTCCGGGAACACTTATCCGTCAGCCAACACGTTTTCGGTTCGGTGCGCTTTACCCGTTGCCGTCAATTAATATTTGTTACAATCGTACAATTACTGTGAGCTGTGTTTTTCGCTATCGGTAGGCACGCGCATGCACCGTCCGTTGGTAACTCGACCATGAATTACGACGCTCAACATCCCTTCGAGGAGTCGATCAATTTTAGGACCGAAGGGAATTATTTTCAAAATAATCAAAACTCTTCGGAGTAAAAACGTATTTTTTCACGTGTCCGACGATTTTCACCATACTTTTTGGATAAATAATTTGATCTACTTATTTTTTAACTCGACGTTATGGTTTAAACGAAGTCGATTCGAAATTGTACGCATACATGTCAATTATTATACGTCGACACCGTTTTAGACGTACAAAACTACGACTTTTGCGCGCGTCAACACTCGTCACAGTGTTACGTGTTGTACCGTGCACTATCCCGTATCGACGTCACTTCCTCGTAGCGCAGCAGTTGCGCCACAGCTATCAACAATGGTAATACACCGGTTGCGGCCGGTGGGAGGCTCGTGCTCGGAGATCGCCGTCGAATTATGCGCCCTGCCCGTGGTGTTTATGCATTTCGAACACCGGTGTTCACAATCGCGCCGTAGTTGATGACACCGAAACAAATGCAGACCGATGGCCGCACCGTGCCCGTACGGGCGTGTCCGACACCAGTTCGTGTTGCGAAACCCACCCCGAGTGCTCCCGCAGTCAGGGCCGTTCAGAGGGAGGGGCAACAGGACCGTTTTGCCCCAGGCCCCGTTGTTAGAATATTTTTTAGGACGCACCATAAAGTCTTGATTAATCAAGATTATTATAAATGTATAATATTTAATAGGGCCCAGATTTATATGCATTTGCGTGTTTTATCTAAAATTACGTCGTTTTCTTATCTTATATGAGACCTAACGGGACAAGCAATAATCTGTATTTCGTAAATCATACGAACGTGAATCATAATCGTGTTTGTCGTGATCTGAATGTGTGTAATTTTCATTGATTTGAATTTATATATACTTTAAATACTGATAATCTGTACTACTAGTCTAGTAGGCTAAACACATTTGTTACCGAATATAAAGATATTTTTTCTGCAGATAGCTTTGTTTTGTTAGTTTAGTTTTTTTTGCATATTTTATAGTCCATATTTCTGAGGTTTTTAGTCCATATAAATCCGGGCCCTAATAATTAATAATAAAGCCTCGATTACACTGAGCAATTTTACACGCTGCGTGCGAGCTTGTAGCGATTTGTCCGATTACATTGAGCGATTGAATTATGAATAATGTGAATAATATTCAATTCTATTATGTAAGTATGTAAATTCAGTACATGAATTTAAATGAACTTGATTGGATAAGATGTGGAAAAATACGTTTGCAAGAATTTCGTTATTCTCAGTAAATATTTTGTTTATCACATCTTATTATTACGGTCGGAGGACCCCTAAATTAATTTTCCCGTGGCCCCGAAAAACGTTGGGACGGCCCTGTCCGCGGTCGACTCAATTGTGATTTTATGTACTAATCGTGGGAGCCAATGTTAATCAAATGACTTCCGATAGACCAACGAAAGTAGTGATCATTCTCCGCGATATTGATCGACGTTTAATCGGTGGAAAAAATCTTAAAATATTCGTATTCGTGTGCTCTACGGAGCGTAGTGAGCTATTTAAATAAATTACTATGCATACTTCAATCCTAGACTTGCATTATTCATTATCTATACATATGTATACATTGAATTTTAATAGACATAATGCGTCTCTGTGTTATCTACAATGGCTCTGAACTAATTTTTTTTAGGTGTGGCAATTTTCATTAATTTATACCCACCTATCTTTACACGATATGAAACCTAAGCCGTGGGGGGCAGAGCTTCTCACACCCCCTGGTCAATACCGATTTTTTAAACACAAAATATTATTTTTACAAATAAATTGTATTATTTACTGAATTTTCGCATTATTTAATATTTTAATATATATAAGTACATTAATTTATGATTACCATAGAAATGAATTATATGATAAATGATCATCAGAAAAGGATATTGACAATAAAACTGATTTATATTTTATATTATTATTAAGATCATATTATGTAGACATGCAGTACTAATGGAAACTATTTACATAAATAACATCATAATTAATTAATAAATATAATATGTTCATTGCTTACTGCATCCTGTTACCCGTATTATTTGATTAACATAATAATTTTTAGCACTGTACTGTATGATGTAAAAATATTAATAAATAAGTCGGAGTCAATGTCAATATCATTTTCATATGATATTAACATCAGATAATCATTCTTCTGCCATTGTACTTTTTAATTTAGTTTTAATTAATTTTAATTTTGAGAAGTCTCGTTCTGAAGATACTGAAGGACTTAGATACTGGTAAAGTTAGTCCAATGCTTAACGCTGTATAAATAGCTGCAAACACTTCTTTTAACCCATTTTTTTGACATACCTTGTATACTATATTTATTGTTCCAGAAGTTGTTGATAATATGATTTTATGAGTTCTCTTCTTCTATGTTATCACTGATATCATCATCACATGGTATTGGCTTATGTAACTTCACTGGTAATTTTATTCATTTTGCAAACATTAAATATGAATTAACAAACTGTATTCACGTCTTAAATCCTCAGCCTTTACAAATTGTCTATACTTTTTTTCAAAACCATCAAATGAATCAGTTGGTAAATTTGATTTTTCTTTAACTTCTATTATTTGCTTTACTTGAAAAAGTGATAAATCTTTATATAGTGGTGTTGACTGGTCATTAAATCTTCCTCTCATTTTAGTATACACAATGTCAATGATTGAGTAGTATGCATTAATTTTAAAATTTGTAAATGGACAGCTGATACATTCATCAGACATAATTTCACCCGGCATTTTATTTTTTTGTTTTTCTTCTATTTGCTACTAATGGCGTGAAAGATAATTCGTCACTTCTAGATAATAAAAACTGATTTTTATTATCGATTAATTTTTTAAACTAATTGTCATCTCTGAAAACTTAAATATTTTCAAATACACATTGTAAATATTCAGTAGCAGCCAATAAATCAATTTGTACGCCTTGTAAAAATATACTTAAAGGATTAGTTAACTCAAATATCTGTTTAAATATAAAACAAGTTAATATAAATGATTTTTACAATAAATAATTCATTAAATTTCCAGCCTTAACACTTAAAATACGATCAACATAATTTTGTAATTCGTCCAATGTGTCAATTAATGAATCGTACATATATCTCAAAAACTATATGAAGGGCATCAGCATGAGATGACTACCTGGTTAGTTTTAACTCTTTTTAACCTACGTAATGGCTTACCAGGATATCTTTCTTTTTGATACTGTAAAAATAACCCTACTCGTTTTTTACTGCTGCCTATAAAAGCATATAGTGTTTTTAAATTACCGAATAGATATTTAGCTCGGGGGCATTTACTTGTTGCATCTACTATAAATAAACTAAATCTGTATGCCAAACACCAAACATAAGTAGCAGAAGGGTTATGGTTTTTCATTATAGCCTGCAATCCATTAAAGGCACCTCTCATTGAAGCCGCACCATCGTATGAATGGCCAATTAGATACTTTTTCCAATCTATCCATTTCGTCACATCAATCATTAAAAATTGTTAACAAATGTTCGTCAGTAGTTGGTAAAGTTTCTCGGACAGCTATTAGTCTTTCACAGACATCACTAGTGTTTTTATTTATGTACCGAAACACTGTTGATAACTGCTCCTTTCGGGAAATATCAAATGTAGTATCTAAAGACACGGCAAAATATTTGGCATTAATAAGTTCATCTTTAATTGAATTACGTATGTGAGTGGCAATAGCTTGAATTAATTGGCTTTGCCGTTGCCATGAAATAAAATTATATGTGTGTTTTCCCTTCAATTGAACTTCAATTAAATGTAATGCTAATGGCGATGAATATTTTGCTAATAAAATTGTTAAATCTTTAACGTTTCCATGGATTTTATCTTTCCAACCTTTTCTATGGCCTCTATATGGTAAATTATGTCTACCTAAATATAATGTAATGTCTGTTAAATTTTTAATAACTTCTTTATTCATTAAGACACTTAAAAACAGTATTGCCTTGTTTACACGTGACGAGTACTCGGCCGAGAGAGTCAACTCGACCGAGCACTGTCCTGTGTGAACTCAAGGAACCAGTACTCGGCCCAGTAAAATGATCGAGCGAGTGAATAGAAACCGTTTCTATTCACTCGGCCGAGCGACTACAGCTACTACCAAAATCAACTGTACTCGGTGTGTATAAACCGCCAACCGAGTAGATCGTGTAGTGAAATTATGTGTCACTCGGCCAAGCAAATAAAATATGTGTAATTGCTGACTCGGTCAATTTCGGTATTAGACCGAGCAACATAACGAGTGACACGGCCGAGTACTCGTCACGTGTAAACAGGCATAAGGAATTAAAAATTTGGTTTCCAAATTCAAATCTTATAAATTCTATTCCAATTATTTTTGCATTTGTCATATTTTCAATAATTTTTCTAAAATATTTATTTAAATTAAACATATTTTAAGTTAAATTGGTTATTTTATTTTTGATAGTTAGAATCTCTTAATATTGATAAATAGCAATTGTTACCAAATTTTATTTTTATGTCTACTTATAAAGAAAAAAAATTACCATATTTTTGTATTGGTGAAAAAATATGGGTACGGTGAAATGTTCTATGGCATTGATCAGATTTGTCATTTTCATTTTTTTTTTTTTTTTTTTTTGCTAAAAATATCATAAACAATTTAGATTTATATATTTTAAATTAAATACCAAGATAGGTAGGTAAGTAGGTAGAGTATACTCCAATCTTTAGTACCTATAGTTCATAGATATTTATATAATAAATAATAACTTAGTAACTAGGTACCTACTTAACTTTTTCATTTTAATGTCATCAACTAAAGATTTGTTTTCTCGTTTTTGTGAAAAATAATTTGATAAAACATTGCCTGAATTCGTATTTTTTAATTTTAAAATTTTACATTATGTTATATGACGTTTCCAATTTATATCGTTCAATATGCCACATAAACAAATCAAACTAGACATTTTAAATTTTCATACAAATTTCAGAACAAATAAAATATAAATACAAATATTAAAATACAATTTGTCAATAAAAAAAAAAAACAATTTATTATAAAAATAATATAAAACGGCAATTTCACAGATTTCAGGGCAAAAGCAATAAGTCTTGAACAAGGGCGCTCATATGGTGGGCGAGGGAGAGACATGCCCCCCCCTGGAAAATGTCAAAAATCTTGGAAAATTGTTTACTATAATCAGAAAATATTTATTTAAATATAATTTAAATATGTAATATATGAAAATCTATAATTTTTTTATGAAAAATTTATTTATTTAGTTTGGAAAATCGGGTTATCAGCTATAAATAACAATACGCTTTTTCGTTTATATTCTATGGATAATTATCAATTCTTAAAATATTGTGTATTTCCAGAAATACGGTATGTTTATGTGTGTGTGTGCACAACCATAATATTTATATAATATTTTTAAAATAATATTTTAATAAATATAACTAATGTCTTAAATGTCCAATTTATATTATTAATTAAATAAAAATTTCAATAAATTACTTTTATGATAAATTGGTTAAATAATTATTATTTTATAGTCTCCCAGTTCGATATATATATAATGTAATAGTATAATGTAAAATTGTAAGCCCCTTCCTATATCGTTGGTCATTTCTATTTATGAATAGATTGATAAATTAAAATGTTGTCCCCCCCCCTTGAGAATTTTCCTATGGGCGCCCTTGGACTTGAACGTCTTGTTACATGTAGTACATACTTAATCATTTTTGCTCTAGTGAACCCAGTGTGAGTAAGCGTCGTGTCACCAATAATTGAATAACTTATCAGTTATCAGTGTCATTACCCATAAATCTATAAATTATTTTCAACTACTTTCATACTAAATTAATACCCATATAATATTTCATAATATTATATAATAGCATTTATTATACTATTTTATTTATTATTACTATTTGTAATCAATGATAATAGTTGATTTCATATTGCCATGTATTTCTTGTTTTGTTCAAAAAAGTCAAAGAAATCTAAATTTATACAAATTTATATTATTCTTGTATTACAAAAATATATAATCTAGGATAACACCAATAGTTTAATTATAACAATACTATCGTGTTCGTCTATACAGGGGCGAATGGAGCGGTCCCCCCCTTCACCAAAGCAGACTTTAGTTTTTGACGTAATTACTTCAAGGGTAAATAGGGAAATCTTGAGCTACTTTTTTTTATACCTAACTTATGCTAGGAGTATATTATCACTTATATTTATTATTTGGTGATATACTGATATCACAGTTATTTACTACTATCATGATGTTAATTATTCGTAATCAAGTTTTGTGTAAGTCAGTGTTTCCGAAATATGATAACTGATAACGACCAACGTAAAAATCGTTCGGTACCTCCATAATCAACAAATTTGTAATTATAAACTCTATTGTTATGAGACATATTGGAATAACTAAAAAAAATTGTTATTATTATTATTATTATTATATAATTTTTTTTTAATACTTTTTATTTAAATAAATAACCTATATCAAAATTAATATTTTTAATTTTATCTATATAAATATCTATATCATGTGTGTCTGTTAAAAATCGCCCCCTCCCCCCATTATCTCGGTCTGGATCCGCCCCTGTGTCTATATTATATTTTCATTCTGTATCTAATGCGTAAAATACTGTGAACTAGCATCTGTAGCCGCTGTTGTAGATTTATAAATAAATTAGGTACAAAATTGGTAATTTATCGTAATTAAAATATAGTTATCTGCTTTTCTTAACGCAATCACACTGTGGCATAGCCGTTCGCGTTATTTGAAATATTATGTTCATTGCTCCTTCTTACCTTAATTATAAAATTGTAAGTTATTTTATACTTAAAACCTACTAATGCTAAAGGGTACCCACCCCCTAAATTAAATGTGGCAGCCGCCACACCTAACAGGAGGTTCGGCGCCACTGGTTATCTATGTACTACCGCAGTCTCGTCATTCACACACCATGTGTGTTAGTAAAATGTGATAAATTTATAGCATGTGTTTTTAAGTGACAACATCAGTGCATTTTTTAACCAGTTAACTAGGCGACGCAAATGTCGCCCAGTGATTATATTCTGTCGAAAGTATTTTAAAAGATTGGGCGAAATTATGCGAAGCGGACGTGAAATATCATCAATGATTCATCATATATATCGTACTATCATCATACTGTGGTATTATACGTTGACTGCTTTGAGTTTTAACATTTTTTTGTCGCCCAGTGAAAATTCCTTAAAAATGTACTGGACAACATGTGTAATAACATCGTATCATATATTCATCATGAATTCATTGTAATATTGATTAGCGATAGACTTTCCAAGTTGCAAGTAGTTTGGTAAAAATCACACACAGTAAATATATTAATAAATGTAATCAATTATAGAGTACCGAAATAGTATATATTATATTCACGATGATTGTGTAGGTAGGTTACACTACAACACCTACTTATGTAGGCTAAACCTTTAATATACAATAAGTGGAAGGTGTTGTTGGTAACGTTACAATATGAAAACTAGAGTTTTACATTTTATTCCTGCTTAGGTACATTCAGGGACGCCCGGATGGGGGGGGGGCAGTGGGGGCCATTGCCCTCCTTGAGATTTTCGCGTCACTTACAAAATTGGAAGTTATTTTACATAAAGCTGATCTTGGGTATTCAGTGACTATTTGAAAATCCTTGTATCTAACAAGTATCTAACATTTTTTTAATCAACAAATGATGATTCAATTAATTTATTTGCTTCAAACAAAAGGAGATTATCATTACTTTTTGAATAAAATAATAAAATATGATGCGAATTCAATCAAATAAAGTTGTTTTTTGTTTAAACTTTATTATATTTTTTCTTATAAATATTAAAACTAATAACTAATAATGTAATTTTATATAAACTTAAATGACTTTTGATTTTTAAAAAATTATTAATGATAGTAATACAAAATATGAGTAGATGAAATATGTAGCAGTAAATCTTCCTATAAGTATTTAGGTACTTACAATTTTTTTGCCCCCCCCCCCCCCTGAGCTACATTTCTGTGAGCGTCCCTGGGTACATTATAATACTATAGGCATTAGGGGTGTATTTATGGGGAGGGAGCAGTTTAAACGTTATTCAGTCATTCACTACATTGAATAAACTTTTCTTTTTAAATATTATTTATGAATAGGGCTCGGATTTTAAAGCAAATGTTTTTTTTTATATATTTAAGACAGAAATCTAATTTTTTTACATAAATTCGTTTCACGTTAATCTGATTCCAAATAAACGAATTTATTTTTGCTTTTTTTAGTATAAATGCTTTTTTTGCTTTTTTATTGCTTTTTTCAGTTATTCTAGCTGTGGAATTTTTATTTGTTTGTTATGCTATAGTAATGAAAAAAATGTTTATATAATTTATAAGAAATGTGAAAACCCGCAATAATAATTATACAGTTAATATAAATATAGATATTATATTTTACCTATCGCCGGACCGTGACCGTACCATTCGTATGGAACGACCTTAAACGTATAGATTATCGATCTACAGACACAGCTTAGAAGTCGATAGCTTATCAGCTATTGCATATAGCCTGTAGAAACTACTCTCAGTACTCACTAATCGTATATAATCGATATCGAAGTATGCACCGATTACTTCGATGGATTTAGAGCGGTCATTTTCTATGTATAAAAACATCCTGTCAAACAATAGAGTCAGTTTAACTTCTGAAAATCTTGCTAAATACATGATAGCAAATTATTTTTTTAATTTAAATTAATTTTTCAATTTTTTTATTCAGTTTTGTAAAATTATAACTAATTTATGTTAATTTTTTGTCATACTTTTTTTAAAAATAAATATGCTTCATTTTTGCTTTTTTTTAAACAATTTTGTGCCTTTTTTTAATTATTATGCTTTAAAATCCGAGCCCTATTTATGAGTAATGTTAATGTTTACATATTATAAACAGTTTTATTAGGTTTAGATTATAGGTTTTTTAGTTTATTACTAATTGTTTTAAAAATTCATAAAATGGTATTTTTTCTTAATAAATTGTAATTTGTACAATTGTTCAAAACCAAAACATATTATTATACAATGAACCCATTCAGTACTAGACCAGAATTTTATTTTAGTGTTATTTCCTACTAAACCACACATTTGTGTATACAAATTGTTATCCCTTAAATCCTTATATTAATTTATATTTTTGTATTTACTGAAAACTAACATACGCAAATGAATGGTTTAGTTTTGAAAATCGAATACTAAATAAAATAGAGATTTCAGACCTATGCAACACAATTATGTCGGTAACAAGCTATATTTAAAAAAAAAAAGTAATAATATCGAAATAAATTGATAATATTCTAATTTTAATAACTTTTACTGTGTGTCTTTGATACTATGATACATTTTGGTCGATAAGTCCAGAAGTTTAATTACTTATCAATTTTTTATTGTTGTGTTTCCTTTTAATTATATTTTTACTTACATCTAATTTTCATTGAAAACCATGTATACTTTAAATTGTAACGTATATTATATTTTTGTTGGTAATTATGTTTTTTTTTTATTTCATTCTTTGTATGTAACTTGTAGAAGAATATTTAAATCTGAATCAGGAAAGTCCAATTCTTCATCGACATCTTCATTCATATCACTCATAGTTGATTCATCTTAGACATTTTTTTTTTATTATTATTAAGTACATCACAAACAGCTAAATGAATACCATAAGTGAAACATAGCTGGTGTTCAGTGTTAAGAAGTTTTCCTACTTTTAACATAACATTTGGTCCATCGGTTACAACTGCGACAATATCTTTTTCTAATGAAATATCAAAGGTCACTGATCTTGGCACCACAAAGTAAAAATGTTGGTGTCAAAAACTACTAATTCCGTAATAATTCGTAACTACAAAATTGGAATTTGTAACTTAAGTATAACTGCCTAAAATCAATTTTTTATTTGTGGGTGCGAGTGTGAGTTGACTCCAACAGCCGAAACTAGAAAAATCGTCGTACAGTGTGCGAAACGGTACTAACAATTAGTAACCTATTCGTAAAATAGAAAATTTATATTGGGCGGTAATACTTAAGTAACAAATTCTAAATTTGTGGTTACGAATAATTACGAATTGGTTACGAATTTGTGAAACCATTTTGACACCAACATTTTTACTTGGTGGTACTAGGATCAAAGACCTAAATATCAAATTAAATTAGTCGTTCCTTCAATACATAAACACAGTTTTCAGCTGTCATTGAACCATTAACTTGAATAAGACCTAAGCTCCAACATTTTTTTTTGCGAATGGACGTTAATATTCATATAACGCTTGCTGGCCGTTCTCTTTAAGTCCTTATCTTAACCTTTGATCATATCTATATTGCTAGCTTTAGAAAATATATTTATTTTCTAATTATTGATATCGTAACATTAAATGCAATACCTATGCTATTGGTGACGTGATCACGCGTATCTATAAAAAAAACAAAACTTGAATCTAAAATACACAGATAGATTTTTACCAATAATTGACTAAATAACGAACACTATATGGTTAATTAAAAATAAAAGGTTTAGCGTTGCCATTAGTCTGCTTCAGATTCTTTACTCAAATATTGAAAGACACATTTTTCATTTATATAATATATGTTAAATGAATTCTGGAGTTCATCGAATATCATTATAATAAAAGGTATCACGTATTTGTTCAAATTTAGATAATTATTAAAACTATTGACATTTTGATCTGTTTATTTAAATTATTTATTCAAATGCATTCTGGAAAAGTCTTAATACATGATGGTATGGTATCTTCAATAATCTTGCCTCCTTCTAAGATAAGTACTCGATCATAGTCCACAATTGTGGATAACCTGTGCTAAATTATAAAAAATTATAACACATTAGTATAATAGTATTTTAAGTTTTTACAAATTTACGCAAAAATATATTTTAATTACTGCAATTGTTATGACTGTTCGGCCATTGAATGATATTTTAATTGCTTCTAGTAATTTTTTTTCTGTTTCATCATCAACAGAACTGGTTGGTTCATCCATAATTAGACAGACATTATCCTGTAAAATAGCCCTTGCCAAGCATAATAATTGTTTTTGACCACTGCTTAAATTATCTCCTGAATTATTAACTACACCATCTATTAAAAAATAATAAGTTAATATTTGCATATATAATTTACGTTTATTATTATACATTTTGAGAGTTATATATTATTTAAAATTATTTACAAATAATAAAAAAAAAAAACATTTTAAATACTTAATTATATAATTAATACTAAGACCTGCATAACCACATTTATATTTTTAATAACTCAATAACTTTAATTTTGTTTTGTTTTTACATAAGTACGTTAATCAAAGTATAAATTTAAATTATAACTGTAGATAATTATTCGAAATAACTTACCAAGTCCTCCTAATTGTAATTTTACCGTTTCCTCCATTTGAGCCATTCTTAAGCTGCTCCAAATCTCATTATCTGAATATTCATTTTTTAAATCTAAATTTTGTCTTATTGTACCACCAAACATTCTTACATCTTGAGGTATTACAGATATCCGAGATCTCAAACTTTGCAAAGGAACATTATTGATATCGATTCCATCAATCATAATTGTTCCATCTCGGATTGGTACCATGTTTAAAATACTCATTACTAAGGATGACTTACCACTGCCCGTACGACCACAAATTCCAACCTTTAATATAAAATACATTAACAATTTAATACATACATTTTATTACAGCTTAAAACGAATAAATTATACTTTTTGTCCTGGTGGAATATGTAAACTAATATTACTGATAACCGGCTCCTGGCTTTCATCATATTTCACTGATACTTTATCCAAAACGATATTACCTTTCGATGGCCAAGCTCTTGTTATAATAGCTGTAGCAAATAATTCATCATTATTGAATATAAACGTATGTATATTTTACATTAAATAGAATATTACTTTCACTTCTATAATTTTCGATTGGGATAGTCGCGAATTCATCAGTTCTTTCAACTGCACTCAAATACATTTCCAAATCAGCGAAAAACTTTACTACCCAATTCAAGTATACAGGAACTAATAATGTATAGTTAATGGCTAGTCCAACCATTGCTGATGAAATAGAAGAATAAAAAAATGTAGTGGTTATTAAAGCAACCATAGTTGCCACAAAGACAATTGCTCCACCTAAACAATCCTAAATGTAACAATGCAAGATACAAAAGTATAAACATAATTAAAATTAAGCGCCTACAGTTATTTCGTATTTGTAAATTTAACTTACTAATGCAATACCCAACCAACGATTTGAAGAACTAATTATCAAAAATACTTTTGTGTGATTGTCAATTCTATTTATCATCTCCGACATAAACCAAGGTTGTTTCCCGAATGCTCTTATTGTGTCTAGTCCAGATATTGTCTCATTGCAATGAGTAATCATCGGTGATCTTAAGTTACCTTCCAGTTTTTGTAAGTCCCTAGGAATATTTTAAATGTTAGGTTAAAATTAAAATGATAAAAATATATAAATAAATACCTCGAGGAACATCTGTAAAACTTTTGCACAGTGTAATAAACAAGACATATAGGTACAACGATTATTAAAAACCAAGGTGTTATTATAGCGTTTACAATTATTCCACATAGACATAAGAAAACAAAATGTACCAGACGTTGCATTGACGTACCAATTTTCTAAACACGAATAAATAATGATTTCTTACACTTAATTCGCATTTTTAATACGAACCTTGTCAATTATAACTAAATCATTAGAAAAACAGTTGTCTATCCTTCCGATGGGTGTCGTATCAAAAAACGATAGCGGGCTTAAGATTATATTGTTAAGCATTCGTTTATGAACACGTTTTCTAGCTTTTAATGCTCCATACTGGCCTAAAGTATTTGATAGGGCTGATAAAACTATAGATATCATGCATAAAAGGCTATATCCAACTAAGTTCCAATATGTCTGAAATATTTTACCATCAATAACGTGCAAATTAATTACATAACTTGTAATATTTTTGTTACATACTTGTGTTTCTGGGAGAAAATTTACATCAGACCAGTAACTTAGGCAGAAATCAATGAAAACTCTTGAAGTTTGCCAAGAAATTGTAAGTATTATGTAACAAACATAAGTGGTCCACCCACTCCAAGATATATATTTAAAATATGTCCTCAATGAAACTGATTTATAAATAAATTCATCTTCAAATCGACCTCGTTCACCTTTAAAATCTTAAAAATAAATTTAACTATTAAATTAATCCCGATATATTCTAATTGAAAGTATACCAGATATATTGTCATCACTATTATCAGAAACATTCGAAGGAACGTTTTTTAACATAACTTCTTTAGCTAAATCATCATCAGATCTGGAATTAACAAATTGTTTAATAAATATAAAACAATTTTGGATTTTAAATATACCTCAGCTTTCGTTTAATACTATGATGTGATATTTTGTTTAATCGATTGGAAGAGTGAGATATCCTTGAATAATATTTTAAGCGTATTATTTTTTTAGATTTATTTAATGTCAGTGGTTTGGTTTGCTTACCCTACTGATGATAAAACATGACGCCTTAAACTTTTTTGGCTTTGTTTTTCTTGTGGATAGTTTCTATATTTAATACTCGAATGAAAACTTATGGCAGGTTGGTTGACTAATGTTTCGTCGATGAATGGCTTACGCCGAGGCAGTTGTATATCAGCAATTGTAGCTGATCTTTCTCTTTTTTTATTAGAAGAAGGCCAATGATTTCTTTCAATACAAGAGTCACCATCACCACATTCGTCCGTTGGAAGTAAAAGATCATGTGTAAGGTATTTAGATCCATACAAAGCTCCAAAATTTTTTTTTAAACTTAAAAAAATCAAGTTCTTAATTTGAATAAAATACTATAAATTTTTTTAGATTGTATAAGAAGTTGTTTAACACTAAATTTTAGGTTCATGTTCAAGTGGTACTTATTCAATTTTGATTAAATTGAACTTATTAATAATTCATATATATATAAAGTAGCGTAAAATTGGGGAAGGGTTCTAGATCTCTCTCCAGAAGAAAAAAAGGTTATAAATTCATAAATGACTTACGAAGGTACAGAAAAATGAACATTAATTTATATTATGTGGTTGTAAACAAATTTTCATTTTTATATATAATAATAATAGAATAGTAGAATTATTAATTCATACTTAATATGTATTTTGTATAATATTATAAAATATTATAAAATAACTTATTTTTTAAAAAAATGTTAAGCCGCCGCAGAAAATTTGAAAATACGCTACTGTATAAATATATATATTTAGTATACCACAGTACATAGTATATTATATATTCGTTAAATGTACATTAATAATTTCAATAAATTACTTTTTTTTTGGCTTTCAACTGTTGGCCAATTTCTATAAAGTTGATGTCCTATTCGACTAACTAATTTGAATAACTTCCAACGCTCTGAAGCTGTTCGTCGTCCATGATCTTGATTTTCTGTTTTCACCATTATATTTTGAACACCTCTCGTTTCTAGATCAGCCAAACTACCAAAAAATTCGATTTTTCCGGCTTCTACAAGTACTATCTAAAAATATGAAATTTAACAGATGTTTATTTACTTCTGTTCTTTGATATAATAATAAGTAACTTTTTCATTGACAGTTAAAAAGGACTCAGTTATTGGTTGTAATATTTTTTCTATTCATTAAGATTAATTTAGAAATTTAATAGAGATAAAAAGGTATTGTTTTCAAATGCGCTATTCAAAAAAAAATAGTAATTTATGACGCATAATAATTAAATAAAAAATTCATACATGATCTTATTATTATCAAAATCGAGTGCTGGATTACCAAAACAAATCCAATGAAGTTTAAATTAATTATCATGTGTAGGTATTTCAGGTTTTCTATGAAAGATTTTTATGAAAAAATTATGTTCATATTCGATCATATTATATCAGATTAATATAATACAGAACGGCATATAAATATATTATTTGAAAAAAATCATATAACCTGAAAAATGTTATTAAAAATTATGGTGAACGGCAAAATGGATGGTACACAGGATTGAATTTAGTGGCTTGAACGTTTAATATATTATTAAGTTGTTTCGAAAAAAAAAAGTTTGTTATTTAAATAAATTAAAATTGTACCGTATCGGCAAATGACAGATCACTAGCGAAGCTTGTAGTCATTATTACAGTTTTTATCTGATTCATTGTTGATTTTTTTATTCCGTTGAAGAGTACATGCTGACTGACATCACTATCTAATGCGGATAAAGGGTTATCCTAATCAAATCGTTAAAAAAAATTAATCACTAGAGATTTAGATCAAGTTTCTTTTACTTTCTTACCAATAAGATAATATTGGCCTTGGAGTATAAAGCTCTGGCAATCGCAACTCGCTGTTGTTGACCACCACTCAAAGCTATTCCCCGTTCGCCAATTATTGTTCTCTCTTTGTCTGGCAGGATGTCAATATCTGGACCCAAAGCACAAGCATCGATAACTCTTTTGAATCTCGACTTATTGTATTTATCGCCAAAAACAATATTTTCTAATACTGAAGCGTTTAACAACCACGTTCGTTGTGAAACGTATGCAACTGTTGTTCCTCGTTTAAAATCTATATCTCCATACAAACAATTCATTTCTCCCAGTAAAGCCAATAGCATCGATGTCTTACCACTTCCAACTTTTCCAGTTATTATTGTTAGTTTACCTAGTTCACATCAATAAATTACACATAAACAATGTTTATATTAAAATGTATATGCAAGCTATAAAATAGAATAATACCTTCTTCAATTTTTAAATTGTTTACGGCAAGTACCGGAATCTTTGAATTGGGCCAAGCAAATGTTGCATCTTTTATCGAAACACATACTTCTGATTCGATTTCTTGTTTGGCGTTTTCGTTTTCTTCTGAGATATTTTCTATGAAATTATTTGAAACATTTACATCAGATGTAGTCCATGTAACATTTGTCTGAAATTTATGAAGATTAGTAAATAACATAATTATAATAAAACATTTTTTAGTACCGTTTGTTTGCGTTTGTTACTTTTATTTGCGCGTGATTTTAAATACTTAGTATTTGGTGTAATTTCTGGTAGAGCCATAAATTCTTCGATTCTTTTTGTACTCACCTATGATATAAAAGTTAAACTTATTCGAAATATTACAAATTGTTAGACATGTTATTACTCACAATTGCTGCAATAATAATGGGTACAGTAATTGGGAAAATAAATAAAGGAACCGTCAATTGATTGGATAACGCAAGACTAGAAAATATCGCACCAGAGTCTAATTTTTGTGTGCCGTGTTGTAAGCAATAAAGACCTAAGCAAAACAAGGATACTAAAACCGATGATGCGTGCGTTAAAAAAGCTGAAAATAATTAAAAATAATGGTTTATGTCTGCACTTTATTATATTTGTAAAAAAATGAATTGTTTACACACTCATCGATCCCCAATAAACAGAATCTTTATCCAAGAGATCCAACTCATTATTACGAGCATCCGTAATGCGATCGACGAATTCGTTTTCCCATCCACACAATTTTACAAGTCGAATGCCTTGCAGAACTTCGTTTGTTAATTGAAGACGTTTATCTGATAAATTCTAATAAAATCATTTTAGTCTAGTTATTAATTCACTTTCAAATAATAACCATTATTATAAATATAATAGTTTTTAAAAAACTATGCATATTATATACTTAACTGATATTTCTTTCGAGTTACTGGACATTTTTTTACCGATAAAAAATTGCAAAGGTATCATAATCATTATACAACAAGCAGATCCAAGAATAGCACTCCATCCGAGTTTTAAATACAATAAATAAATCAAAAATATTATCTGAAACGAATCAAACAATTTTTAATATTAATTACACATATAATAGTTTATATTAATTTCGCAAAAATTTATAATTCTATAAATCACTTTATCATTTAAATAAGGTTTTTATAAGTTGAGGAGATAAAAAGCCTGTAGGTATATCATTGTTTAACATTTTTAAACTATACTGTCATGAAATTTTGAATATCATGAATCCAAAAGAAATTCACAGCAATAATTCGTTTCGATCAAAATTTAAAACTCAATATAATATCATTATGTTTGTTAATTAAAAATATAAGGTAATCATAGGATACACATACTTTCAGAGGAATAGCCCATATGTAATGTCCAATCCAAAAGCTTGACATAATATTTGTCGTATCTTCTGACAGCAAATTTATGATGTGTCCATTTTCTGAGGTCGAATCTACTTGAGTTTGTTGTAACTTCAACATTTTGCAATAAAGCATGGCCTGAGAAATTATATTTTTTATAGTTTTTATTTCTTAAACGTAGAGGTATTACTATTAAACTAAACTTGAAGTCCTGATTTAAGTCGTATCCCTTCAACGTTTAAAATATGGGTGCTAGCTTGAGAAAAACTTCCTTGGGCAATACAACTTATTAACATAATAAGAGCCATTACGTAACCATTGTTCAAAAATTCAGAAAATGTAACACAACATGAACTATCCTAAAAACACACAATTATCTAATAAAATTAATTTAAAAAATTATGTTATCTTATATTGTATTTGTTTTATATTGTACTAAAAATGATAATATGTGTGTGTGTGTGTGTATGTACTCTAGTGATATGCATGGTCTGGTCTTTTTTCAGTTTCCAGTTTCTAAAATATAATCAGATCGGTTTAGTTTGGACCAGTCGGTCCCAACTAGACATTATTTATAGAATTATGAACACGTATATTATAATAGTAATTATACATTTTACCCCTAAGTCGTTGTTTATGTACTTTTTTGGTATGTACCTCAGAACAGTTCATGGTACCTATTAATAATTATTAAGTATCGAAAATATTTTTAAACACAACGGTTGCAATTATTCTCATTATGGTGCGGGTGACACGGAAGAGCTTGTATACAGCTACCAAACCGTTCCATAGAATTTGTATTTAAAATCAATAATCAGATGCGTTAAAAAAGGAGACATGGGGACTGAAGCATTAGGTAGAACTATATTGGACGTAGGTATTAAAAATTATAAGTAAGAACGACTTCGTACAAATCGACATGCCCAACGAATTATGGCAGTAACTCACTTTACAAGTCTACCCATTTATTTAATTTCTAGATCCATCGAATGAACGTTTCTATAAACTACATATAATAAGTTTTGTACAGTTTTGTAATAATCTACGAGCAGTTTAAATCTATAATAATTACCAGTTATGTAGTATAATTCAAAACTTCCACTGTCTGAATTTTTTTTAGTTCGAATAGTTTGTCTACTATCAAATTATATTATATTTTCGGTCCGGTCCGGTAGGAAAAGAAAATTGGAATAAGTCCGGTCCGGTTCATAAATTATTACAGTCCGAAATTTGTTAGTTCGGACCAGCGGTCTACTTTAACAAATTATTTTAAATTTTTAGCCCGGTCTTGTATAAAAAAAATATTTAGCAATCAGTTCGGTCCGACTTTGGTCCTTTATTAACATTTTCAGTTCAGTCCGATCCTTAAAATTAAGGACCGTGCAGTTTACTAGTGTACACACAATCGTTTTAGTTTCAAAATACGATTATTTGACATTGTTATATTTATATTTATTAACATAACATTATTCTATATAATTTATTGGTTTAAACTTCGAATGTTATTTATAAGTAAATACTTACTGCTTCAATATTTATTTGATTTGGAACAATTTGTTTTTTTGCTACAAAATTAACTATTACCGATACCCCTAAAGGGCCAATATAACCAACAAAGTCCCCCATCATTTTAAGTATTCCACCAATTAGAAACTCTTTCCAATACGCTTTACAATAACATTTCCACATGGATACTTTAGTAGGTGTTCCATATATTTCCTATAAATATATTAAACATCAAAATTATAATAACGTATAATATTTTACAAAAATCTTATACGTAGTACATACTATTTACAGGCACAATCTAACCTTTTCTTTGAGATAAATATCATAAAGTCTTCCATATTGTGTTGTAGACTTTTCACGATTTGGCAACTGTCCTAAGTCTTCCAATTGAATTAAATGTTTGTAACAGTTTCGTAAAAAACCAGTCAACCAATAAAACGTTATTCTTGAGTACCAGCTACATAAATCATGTTTATACGTATAAAACTCAAGATCCAAGTCAGTTTTGTTTATCTTTGACTGAAATTTATTTTATATGAAAAAAAATAAATATATTTTTTAGAAATCCATAAAATTACATCGATTAAGCCATTACTCGTCGTCACGTGTGTATACGTAGGTGAAATGTTAATTAAAAATGTGTTCGTGTATTTTTAATATATATAATTTAACGCCTACGTGGCAGTCCACGTGTAATTAATGAACTCTGTCGCGATGGTGTAAATCTTATTTTTCAAAATACCCCTTCTCTTAATCATACTTTTATTGCGGCCATTCAATAATTTTTATATATATTTCATCAACGTAAATAATAATTATGCAAGGAAGTAAAGAAAAATCTTCAGGCTCTATAGCCAGCTGTTGTCCCTACGGATGAATAATTATTAAAAAATGTCCACATGCACTGCACCTATAATAAAATATGCTAATTTTAAACACGTATCAACGATTTAATCTCAAAAAAATTTGAACTTTGAACATATTATTGCTATTTTACGTGTACCTACTCTTAAATAAGGGTTTAAAATGTATTCCACCGGGATAAAATCCTAAAGTAACAATTTTAAGAGGTTTATATGAAAAAAAAATTAAACGGCATAATTAAAAGTGATTGAAATTTAAGAATAAATCAGTGAATATATTTTTTTTACAAAATATGTCAAATCTATATCATTTATGATTAACAGCTAAACGCTAGATTTAAAATTATGTACTACACTAAATTCATAAAATGGAAGTTGGAGTGGCTGCTTCTGTTGATAAAATAATACTTATAAAAAGCACCATACTTCTAGCATACAATTGTGTTACTTAGGTTGAACGATTCTACAAATTATGTTTTTCGAAATTCAATGTGATTTAAATTAGTTTTGATCTAGGAAGAGTTTTTTGAACATATATACATTATTAAAATATTAATATAAGTACAAAAATATAATTGTTGTTCTGATTTTGGCTACCGAACGACATTTCCTCGGATGTTTTTTTTATCCGACACGCAACGGCGTGCGGACGCAAGAAATGTTTTTCAAATCCTACAAAAAACCGTTCACTGCTCAACTAACTGCAGAGGTTATAAGTACAGTTCTTTGCTCGCGTTGGCAACGTTACGCGGACAGTATGTCCGAATGAGATTTACTCGAAAATTAGTGTATGCCGATCACGCGTACGCTCAAAACGACTACGGGCGCGAGTAAGTGGCTGCAGGGAATATGTGAACCATAGGCGCAACTAGGGGGGCGCAATAGGGGTTTTAGCACCCCTGAGTTCAAATGTAGCGCTCCTTTTTTTTTTAGATCTATATAATCTACAGTGATTATATGTGATCACAGTTAAATACCGTTTAATTTCATTTTTAGCAATTTCAGCACCCCCAATATTTGAGCTCTAGTTGCGCCCATGATGCAAACTGTTAAACGTACGATCCTCCGCCGCCGCCGTCGCGGTGCTTGTATTGTGCACAACTCACCCTTCCGGTCAACGCGTACAAGTGCAACGCCGCGGTGGCGTAACAACAGGCAGCGGACAGGGCGAGCACGGGCGGCCGGACGTGCGCGTCCGCGGTGAAACCCGCGTCGACCAGTGACACGAACAGCAGCGCCCGGCCCAGGCCGCACACGAGCCACGCAAGCACGCCGCAGCCCATGGGCCCCGGCCGGCCGGCCACCTCGAGCATGTAGCACACCGACCCGGAGCTGAGCTGCGCCAGCAGACCGACCGTGGCCACGGCCATCGAGCCGCACGTGCTCAGCGCGTAGTCCACGGTGAGCGCGAACTCCGCCAGGCACGCAACCGTGTTGACGGCGCACCGGGCCGAGTGGCCTCTGAACAGTAGACGTCTGGGCGACGGGTTGCTGCTGGCAGAACAAACAACACAGCAATAAGAATATTGTAATATTGTCACAGTTGAGACCGGTCGTCACCGGTCCGGTGAAGTGATTTCGTCGTGTAATTTCAATAGTAAAAAAAAAAAAAAAATGTCGTTTTCCGTAACGGATCCCAGCGTGCGGTTGTAAAGAAATTGTAAAAAAAAAATATATATAAGTAAATACATAAGTACTCCGCTGTGAACGGGCTGTAGTTGTGTAGCAGTGGTATAATATTTAACATATGAATTTTGAAACGTTCGCCACGTTCGCAGGAAGTTATCGAACACACGATTTTAAACGAATATCGAATAAATTATGAAATACACACTTTCAGATGAAATCTTAGATGAAAAATATTAATTGCTATAGGTTGATTGATTCGACAAATTTCAAACTTCTAACAACTATAATAATAATCTTTGATTGTACACTCGAAATAAGAGTTTATGTATTTTTTTTTGATACGAAATGTAAAAACTCATTTTAAATTAAATTTGACTTTTAGTAAATTGATGATTATAGACATACGTTATTTTTAAAATCGGTAGTTTTGTTCTTTAAATTTAATTTCATAAAAATTTAAATTATGTAATAAATTAAAATTAAAAATATTATAAAACCATGTAGGTACTAAACAAGATATTATGTTCCATTTTATCACTTTTATTGTATACGTATGACATATTTATTGGAGAAATTCTCGGGCGCATAGTTCCACTGACTCCTTAGTGAGAGACTTTATATATTTTTAAATGTAATATCTCTATGCACTATTTCCAAATTCTATTATTGACTCGTTAAATATGCTATACTATACTAATATTATAACACTAGTAAACGACAAAATATTAATGGTTAATTAATTTAAAGTTAGTTTTATTTAAGTTGAAATTTGTCAAAGAAATTTAAATAAAAAATGTATGGCAGAGAGACATGTAATTTATATTAAAGTCTTAAAAATATGGTTTAATAATGGTCGTTTAGCCTATGATTAGTGTAATATTTTTTATTGAATACGAGTTGTGCAAATGTTTGTTTTAATTATTTTTTTTAAATTATTATCAATTTTTTTTTTATTAAAAAATTACTAGATATGAATATAGTTCATAATAAATAAATATATTTATTAATTAAAATTATTGTTTGATACTTATTTTAAGAGCATATTTTGTATAATTATTTAGTATAGAAGAGACAAATGTATTCAAATTAGATGGCTTAAGAGTGTATAAGTATTTTTAACTGTAATAAAAATATAATTATATTAAATCACAAGATATATTTTGATTGAATATAAATAAAAAATACAGTATAAAATAAAAATAGTGCCACACATTTTAATTCTGTTAAATGAAATGAAATTTAAATTTAAATCCCATAAATACTATGTAAACAAGTATTAAGACTTCTTTATATTTATGATGATTATTTTAGGAAAAAGGAGTTAAATGACTTACCTTGTCGAAATACATTTGATGTAGATAAATATCAACATATTTGTGTATAGTGTAAATCCAAAGGTAATCACGTTGAAAAGTTCCATATCACATGGATCGTAGACTAGCCAAGGCTTCGGCTCCGAGTTGTTCCATTCTGCTCTGTAAGTAGTACACCAAAATCTACCCATGATTTAATATACAAGGATGTGTGACTACTCCGGTCAAGTAAAAACGGTTGATTGATGCGATTAAGCTTTGGGTCCCTCTGTTTAACTGCACATGAATTTATGAAATATATATAGATACCTATCTAAAATCGGGGGAACATCGCGCGTATATATTCGCCTACTCGTCAACCTACACTGAGTGATAGTCTAAATGAAACGGATGTGTGTTCACAAAACACTTTCATGTACCTGTTGACGCATTTTGAATTTATCGATTATGTTTTTGTTGAGGAAAACCGTGTTTTACAATTTTTACATAAGTTTTATTGGAATTCTGCTGGTTAAAAAAGCGACAATATAATTTATTGTTCACAAAATAATGACGCTTATTCTAAGGTATAATGACAAGTATAACTATAAAAAAAAATTAAATATAAATATATTTAACGATTCTAGAAAATCCCTCCTATGAGTTTTATTTTACTGTTTTTCTTGATTGATATTATTTATTCAAAGTCGAATTTTCTGTTCAATACATATTATGTACGACTTAAACTAATTTGTGATTTACATTAAACACATTGATATGTTTATGTATTTAAAATGATCACTGATAGTTTGCTTAAACTGTTTGAAGACTATAGCTGAAAACCATACATTTTCAAATATATAAATAAATAGTTAATATATTCATTTATGATGATTAACCTTTTTCTAATTTTTGTTTTGTTTAATTATTTAATAATATTAAAAAAATATATATTGTGATAATAGGCTGCATTTTAGATATGATTTAAAATTTGAAAGTCTTCTGTGGGAATGGGAATTTAATATATTATTGAATATCTCTCAATATTTTTTAAATTAGATTTTAAGTGAGAATGTTATAATAATATTAATTTTCAGAATATTAATTTAAAATACTTAAATTGATATTTTGTTGTTACATAAAGTAGGTATATTATTTTTTTCGCTAGCATATTGAATTTGAGTTGTATAATATTATATATAACACTAAAATAGTATTTTACTGACAAATAAAGACGCAATTAAAAATTGTATCCTCAAATTTAATAGTATAGGTAAGTTATTATACACATATGTTATGTATTGACATTAAAATGTTTGTAAGGCGAAATAAGCTTTTATTGATTAAACTGAAAAACGCTTTCCAAATAAATAGACGGCGATGACTGGCGTGATAAGTACATAAAATATAAATTATAATATGAGAATAAAAAAATAATTTTATCAGACGATTTATTATTGAAGGCCACTTATAAGGTAAAAATCAAGTTAAATGATTTTAGCAAAACTAATTAAAAAACAAAATTAAAAACAAAATAATAAGGTATTATTTTAATAAAATATTAATTTATCTCTCAAAAATATTTAATTTCGAGAGTAAAAAAAAAGTTAACTATTGAATAAGTAATGAAAATATAAAAACAATCACGTCAAGAATAAATATAAAAATTCATTATTTCATAAAAAATATTAATAATTTATTATAATTATAATTTTAAAATTCAATGAAAACTGTGTTAATTAATGAGGTATGTGAAATAACAACAAATCAATTTCACCTTCGTTTATCTTACAGAATTCTTATACAAATCGATTTGTCGCACCACATTTTCTGATCCTGGCGATTTGGGCGTGAAAAACGTGCCACAAGCCCAATATCGATGTCACATATCGATTCACATGAGAAATTTGCAAGAAATCTCTTACGAGTATTAATTTTTAGATTCAAAATAATATTCTAAAGATAATTAGATAAAACCCAGGTTTTGAAGATAGAAAAAAAATGTCAAAAGATTCTTCATTTGGCCATTTCAGAGCGTACGCGTATACTAGTTTCCTCAACCATTTCAGAAACATACTTTACATTATATATTATTTTATTATACATGGTTGAACAAATAAAAAAGAAATGTTCAAATAGTATTGCGATAACATATCATATTAAACTGCTGTTTTATCTTCGTGTTAAATCTGCCCGGATTTCAAATCCTGAAATTTAAAATACATTTGTTAATTGAGGATCTGAGTGCCGGTCAAGTTCCAGTAATGCCGGTTTATCTTTACCATTCACCGTTATATCTCTGCTAACTTTGAAGATGAACTTATGCAATTTTAAACACATATTTAGATCGAAGTAAATGATATCTAAATTGTGGCCAAGTTAAAGATTTGTCAAGTATAAAGTAACAAAAATAAAAGAGCAATGGTACTTATGAAGTTAGGAGTGAAGTAAGGTAGTGGATTCTTTTGGAAAAGCATCTGGAACTTGTTAATTTTTCACCAATAGGTTTTTTTTTTTTTATATGAATACGCTATTTAGCTATTCGATAAAACTTACCCCTAATTCAATGTTTAAAGATTTGAAGAGTATTTCAATTTCAAACTGTATGTTTAACTTCAAACCAGGTTGTTTGTGAAGTTCTGCAAGACTTCTTAATAAGTTTAATGTCCATAAGCTTTTCGGTTCAAACACCTGTTAGTTTATAAGAAAAAAGAAAAGAAATATTAGAAGTTAGAAAAAAACAGTTTTAACAGTTATTAAAAAAAAAAAAAAAAATGTTTTAGTCAATCAATACTTTGGTAACTAAATTATAAATCTATAAATTTATAACCTCCAATGGAAAAACTAAAGAAATACTGAAATCGAGATTTAAACTATTTACAAAATAAAAAAAATCTTACTAAAAGTGTGTTACTACTGAATTACATTTTTTAAATCAATCGTTTTTTCTCGTTAAAATAAAATTATACTATTATTGCTTAGGCTTATTGTAAATAACATTTTACCGATATCTAACAATGTATATATACATGCATAAACATACTTTGCTTTTGGCACAAGCCACAAGTATCTTGGCGATGAACGGAACAATACACGTAAGTCTTTCGATTCCTTTATAGACCGCTTTCGTTAACAATGAGTTTAGATAGCCATCGTAAAACGGTAAGGGTATATTTTTCGCCAACGTTATAATGCCTAACCAATGACCGAAATTTTTTAACAGAGCCCTGCTGTTCGTCGTGTTGCTGTCCAATAGCATCTAAAAAGATAAAACGTAATATTATGTGAACTTTTAATTTTGATTATTATTTATAATATATTAAAAGAAGATAAAAGAGTTCTACTGACTTGAATATTTTCTATGGTTCTAGACATTACAAGGGCGTTTAGCTTCTCGTTGTTCATTCTATCTAAAAAGTCTGAATACAAAGCATGTAAATTGAATTCAAAACGAACACGTTGCTCGATCAAATACTCGGAGAGCCATGGAACGTGTTCTTCTTTTAAAATGTTCTTGATTTCGTCGCACTGAAATACGAGCACAACAATCGATCAACAATAATGTATGTACTTAGGTAGGTGCAATACGCGTGCAACGAAAATCGTCCGTCCGTGGCCGAACTATATGCCGGGCATGAAAAATAATCCGATTCGAACGAGTTTCGCTGTACGCGTGATGATGGTCGTTAAAAGTGACGAATCGTAATACCTTCTCACGTAGATTTTTCGCGTTCAGATTGTTCACGATGAACACTATTTTATCTTTGTCGGTCAAGCTCTCCCCAATTCCTTCGAAGTCGAATTCTTCTAGGTCGACCGACTGCGTCTTTACGGCCGATAACCCTGTGGGTGAGCACAACACGACGGATGACTGTTGGGCACCCGTAGGACCGTCATATGCGCGTTCCGGTGTGTGCTTCCCGTGGTCCTCAATCCACTGCAAACAGTTTTCATAAAACGTACAACGTAATTAACGTTCCGAAATCGCAGACATGTAAGACCTGTGACGAACACTATGTACGCAGCGAATAGCGTTGATGATTTGTCATCGGATTTCAACGCAAACTATTACCTCGATTATATGTCGGGGAAAGCTTTTTAAGTGTGGTATGGCGGCTACACTTTGGAAATACTCTTCGCAATCCCCCCACAAGCGTTCATAGAATCGGTTTAACGCCGTTACACCGAAATCGAACATTCTTGAGTCGGGTTTGTTTTTCAGCGCGTCCATGACCAGTTGTAAAGTATTTTTCAAAGTTTCAGGATCGCTAACGGACAAACGTTTTACACAATTTTAATACACGAAGATTTTGTTGGCATCTCGAGCAGATTGAATACAAAAGGTTAGAAAATATCTATCAAATACTACTTACGAAATAAGGTCATATTCAATGAGACCGCCGTAAATATTGGCTAACTTCATAAGGACATCGTACGAATATCCGGGAAAATGTGTCTGTTCGTCGAGCAACTTGAATATTATGCATGAAAACACTTCCTGTAGAATCAATAACATTTTCGATTGTTTCAAACCAACAATTGTACGATTTATTGAAGTACCAATAACTACTTATAGTTATATATTTATTTTAAAATCTATTTATTAACAATTTACTTTAAACATGAATTAGCAGTGGCAGTTCTCCTTCTCAGAAAAAATGTCGAACATTTTAGCAAGTTTGTTTAAAACAAGTTTTTTGGATTTTTAATTGAGAATTATTATCCTCAAAGCCATAAAATAAGTTAATCACATTTTCCAATATATATTATAAATTATGTTTTTGTGAAATTAATTATTTTAATTTTACTAAAAATATAATAGTTTTATATAACATCGGTGTTATTTAAAACAAAAACAGTTTTGTTATATGATAACTTGAATGCTATTTAAAATAGAAATACATACAAATTTTATAAATAAACTACCAACTATACAATAAGTACCTTATTTCTTCGAATCGATGAATCATTTAAATCTTTCAAAATCTTCAAAAATTCGTCGGATGATAGACAATTGTACGACAAACTAATGACTTTTTTCACTAAGTAATGCGCCTCTTCTCGTATATACTTTAGTGCCATTGTATAAAAATTTCTCGTTCAACTATCGATATATTTATAAACTTGAAAACTCTTATTTCAAACAAATTAAAAAAAAACAATTTCAAACAAAAATCAAAAATTAACAAGTATATAAATACCGTTCAAAAATAATGAAAATCGATAAATAATATACTTAACTTATTGGAAAATAAAATGTTGAAGTAAACCAAAA